CTGATAATGTTCAATCTTTTATTTGCTGACAATGTTTTGGTTGCTGATAATCTTCAATAGGAATGTTTTGGTTGCTGATAATGTTCAATAGGAATATTTTATGTAAACTACTGATTCTGTATCATACATTGGATGATGTCATCGGTACAGTAGTGTATTTTCTGTTACACTAACTTGCGCACCTAACTAACTACTCGCTCGCTGCGAAAAACTTGAAACTTGACAAAATTGTAAATTCTTTTCGATTGACGCTGCACCAGTCGAGAGGACTTTCAGTTATATTTATTTATTTTTTATTGCGGTGCAATAATTCTTTTTTGGGAATTGCATCGGTCTGCAAATGTCGTATGTATCCTCCTGACTTTCATCTTCACAATCTAGTATCATGGCAAGATCGTTGATTAAACACCGTTGTTTTCCAAAGAACTCTGCATTCTCATTCTTTTGGTTGTTTCTGAATGTGGAGAACCAGTAACGTCAACAGCGTTTTTCGATTTCATTTTTTGTAATTCATTTTTGATCCTTTCTTCTGTGACTGACCAGATATACGTTTTATCATTGCACTTGCGTAATATTCCAGGGACCGAAACAGTTATTTTTTTACCAGTTAAACTTGGCCTAATATTTTTTATTCCGAAAGTTTTTTCTGGATATAAACAAACAGCTTATCAAAATTAAACAAATTTGGTATCATGTGAGAGGACTGAAATAACTTTTAAACAGAAATAACGAACGAAGGTTACCACCTCTATTTATATATTTTTGTATATCATTTAATACTAAAGAAATTCATATACCTGGCCCAAGGTTTGTTCTATCGTAATTAATTATCATTTTTTATTGAAATATTTTTCAATAGGTGACTTTGCTTGTTTAGACATTTCAGTTTTAAAGCTATTTAAGTCCTCTTTCATTTGATACCAAACTTGTTTAATTTGGATAAGCGGTTTGTTTATTGTCCGGAAAGGACTTTTAGTTGGGAATAAAAAATATTTGGCCAAGTTTAACTCGTAAAGAAAACAACTGTTACTTTCGGTCCCTTCAATATTCGCATTCGCAAAAGATCCGCATTGATTATTGCGAATGCGAAAGCGAACGCGAATGTTAAAATTAATGCGGAAGCTCCGCGGTTGCGAATGCGAATGCGAATATTCGCAACAACCCTGGTATATACATATATATCACATATTTTGACTTAGATATGTATAGACCATTAATGATGTGTACATCATTTTTTTTATGTTGAAACTAGATATGTATATAGTATGTTATTATTATTATCCGGTTCAAAAAAGTCCTATCTCAAATGAAAATACTTTGAAAATGTGCTGAGATAGGGCGTTTTTGGATCGCCAGCTGAGATAGGGTGTTTTTGAACCGAGTTCTGAGATAGGGCATTTTTCAATCTTCTAATAGCTGTTGGCCATGCCACTAATGCCTCATACTCAGATTTACTAGATAAAATCGTGTTCTCCGAGAACAAAAATTTTCACGATCCAAAAATCTGAAAAATCTTTTTTCTCCAAATTTTGAACATTTATCGTTTTCGGTCTATATTTTGTGGCAAATACCATACAAAGCAAATATAGGCCAAAAAACGAAGAATTTTCAAAATTTTGAGAAAATAATTTGGCCGCTATACTCAGAGTTTTGAATCGTTAATTTTTTTTTTCTCGAGAACACGAATTGATCTAGTAAAACTGAGTATGAGTCATTATTGGTATGGTCAACAGCTATCAAACCTGATATATGCGCACAAGAAGCCCATTTGAAAGAGGGAGACAAAATATCACACGTAAACACGATTGAGAGAATACAAAGGTTGCGCCGATCTCGGTACCGCTATTTTTCTCTTAACGAATTTGACAGAATCAGCTGTTTGTATGACGTCACACTGGTGCAATTGTTGATTTTGAACTTAGCAATTTATTTGTGTGTTATTTCTGCGACATTTTAAGCAATTCAAAGCGATTATTTAAACTTTATAAACTTATACTAAGGCAATATGAAGTGTGCAGTGGCAAATTGTGATAGTGAAAACTATAGGCAAGCGTGCGATATAAGCTTTTTTTCGTTTCCTACGGACGAAGCTCTCGCCAGAAAGTGGATGCAGTTTTGCCGGCGAGGAAGTGCATTATTGAATCCCAAATCGAGCTACGTGTGCATGAAGCACTTTTCTAGTGAAGATATAGAAAACAATCGACAGTTCGAAATGGGTAATATATTGTGTATTTTCTAAATTCATTCCATTTAATGTTATTGTTGCAAACGCTTTAGGATTTGCAAAAAAACGCCTTTTAAAGCGTGGTGCTGTGCCCAGCATTTACCCAGAGGATGGGGAAACCTCCCAGCGTGCCGAAAGTGTTCAGCGCGAGGAGTACAAACAAATTGTCAGCGAGTTACTTCAGCAGAGTGAACCTGTCGCAGTCAATGAAGGTAACAATTTGATTTTAAAGAAAGTTTCGACTTATATTTGCAAATAAGTTGTTATAGCCGAGGCGAATAACAGTGCCAACGTTGTTCCGATTGACGAAAATGTGGAGAATAAGGAAAATAGCCTAGTGGATGCAAATCTTTCCGAAATCCCCGCGACTTCAACACCTCGCAAAGTCTTCTACTACGACAGCAGTTTGGAAGAAGTTGAGGAGCTGGAAGCTCAACTGTGAGTTTGTAAAAGCAATAAGGCAATCTAAACATGTTGGCATATTCCTGTGTTTAAAGTTTTAATTTTGTTACACGTAGAAAAAGACTTAAGCGAGAAAACAAGACTCTGTTAATGGATAACAAAAAGAAGGACATGGAACTGGCGGCACTCCAGCAAAAGTAGGGTAATCAGAAAAAGAAGCATGACTATGAGGTGGAACAGCTGATATGTGTAAAAACATGGAGAGCAAATTTTAATCTTTACTTGTATAGGTGCCATACTGAAAAACGTTGTTTCGGAAAAATGGCCTATCGATATAGAGCCACCAGAGTTTGAGGATCTAGAGTACGATGGTCTAGAAAATTTAGCCGGATACATATGCCACCGATTGCGAGACGATATCCCCAGCACCTCACTCAAAGGCGCAGATGATACCCTCCTACACATGGGTAAATCACTTAAGTGAAGGAGGATTATCTGTACCTAGCAGCAGTATGATGGAACATATAAGCAATCTAGAATCAGTATTCAGAGCAATGAACGAAGATGGTTGCTCATTACAAATGATTTTGTAAAAAACATATTGAGCAAGCTTCTAGTATAAATTGCGACATTAAAATAAAAAAAATATTTTTTAGGGCAAGAATGTTTTTTACGAGAAACTAAAAACATTGAATCCGACAAAAAGAATAAAAAACTACTAGATTCTTGTAGTAGAATGAAACTATCTAGCCTCTTAATCTTTTATGTACAAGGAAGTACATGACGTAGTCTAAGCAGCTATTATTTCAAATTATTGTCTCAAAATGCAAATATTTTATCTCAAAATCTGAATTTTAAAATCCATTCAGTGAACTTTTCCAAACAGCGTTGTAGATTGCGTTGCCAACTAGCGCACGTGTTACTGGCTTCAAGGTGGATATCTCGGAGCAACAAATTACAGGAAGATGTCATTTATTTTCAATTCTTATAAATTTGTATTCTGGCACCTTTGATTAAAGAAATTCGCATTTACATCATCAAACTCAAGGTTTTGCTACTGATACTACCTTTTAATGGCCTGGTACAAGGTATAGTGTCTGACAAAATATCAATAATTTTTAAATCTAACTGTTTCTTTAAAATTTTTTTTTTATCTTTTGCAGTTCGTAACGAGAACGGTTCTTCAGTTCATCCGCTTAACATAAAGGCCCTTTTCAGGGCCGCAAGTATTAAACAAAGAGATAAAAATTCTACTTATATCTGTGGTCATAAGCAATAGCCGCTGAAGTCGAGTACAGCCTCATGCATGCAATTCGCATACAATTCTTAAGTCGACTTAGACGGTTATTGTTTGCACACCTATCGCACACCATCTTCTGAAGTGGTACAACTCAAAAATCAGAAAAACATATTTGCATTCATATGGATTGATTTATGCGTAAAAATCTACGAAAATTTGTTTGAGTTGTGCCCCTTTTACAGATGGTGTGCGATATGCATACGACAATAGCACAACTAATAACAATAACAATATACGTACATAAATAAGTTTTTTATTGCAATCTTCCAATTAAACCATTAAAAACATCATTTATAAATAACTTATGAAAAACTTTGTGCTTTTGTATTTTCCCAGATATGATCGCCGATAATAGAATGGATGGATGAGTCGTCGTTCATTATCTGTGCACAATTCTTGCTTGAAGGCATGTAAACATTGCGAATATTACCAAAAAAATAGCGAGATGCAACGAAAACTTTTATCAGAAATATTTCAGAAAAACATACCTATTATTTAATAACTATTTCAAAATTTTAGAATAAAAATCGTTTACTACCAGAAAAAACGCAGTGTATCTTGTTTAGACAATTTTCGTTAATGCCTTGGGCGCCGATCGGTATTTTGGAAAAGTGCTCGTATGAGATGCTTAATTTCTTCTGCCTTATAGTTTGCTGTTAAATATACCGGCACCTTCACACCACTGCTTCGGTGATTTCTTGCAACGAAAGCATTCAGTATCATTTTCAATTGCTCAAGTTTCATCAAGATTAATATTATCACTTCATGTTTGTGCTGCAAGAAGTACAATAAAAAAATAGCATTTATTCGAGCATTGCATCCCATCAGAAATTTACCTTGAATAAAGCTTGGCCTTCTCCAATATGACACCGATTAGCTCACTCAACTCACTTGCCACTGTTGCCGAAATGTCCTCCATTGCGAGTATACGTCGTATTATTTCATTACAAAAATCATATATAATATCGCAAAATGTCTTTTATAAATTGCATCGGGTAACACATTCTGCCAAACATTTTTCAACAAATCTAATTGACGCAAACACTGGCGCAATAATTTCAACGGCGCAGTGCCAACTGTGTGTGCATCGGAAATATCTGCAAGAGAATACAAATATTTTTTATATAAAAGGTTATACAATAGGCACTTGTTTCAAGTATCTATGCACAAAATTACCAAATTCTTTGAGTATGCCCATGATAATCTTTTGCTGATAATTGATTTGTACATTCAAATATTTTCTTCCACTCATATGTAGGGTCTTAACCAATCCTGGGTATGTGGGTATGCCCTTTTCTGAATTCGTGGTCACCCAATGTGCTAAAAATTGGCAATTATTATAGAACAGAGCAGATTGCTGTGGTATGCTTTCTAGAAGCTTCTCATGTATCTTCGGCACTTCGCCAACATACGAAATCAATATGACGCTGATAACGTTTAACAGACTTTCATCTTCTGTATCATGTGATTGGCGAAGTATGCGCTCCATCAACTTAATCAATTCCTAAAAAATATACCAAATATTGTTGTAAAACTTTAGAGACATACAAACAATAATGCACTCACCAGTGTGCCCTTCGAGACCATACAGCAAGGAAATAGAAAGGGATTTTTAGCTACATCTTCCGCGGAATTCTTTTCAGCAATTAATGCCATATCTTGCAAGTCCTTATGCATTATGTCTAGCGCGCTTTTTATAAGTTTATTGCTGAATTGTTCACGGAAGTAGCTTTCAAATTTTTCGGCAAAATCGCTAAGAGCTTTATCTTCTGTGTTAATGAGAATCGCATCCGCTAGAAAGTGTTCAAATTGAATGACATCCTCTACGAGCGTTGACTCATCGTATTCGCTCATATTTTTGGGTATTGCATGCATCAGGCATTCTTCCACTAGTAAATTCAAAAATCGTTGTTTTATATGATCGCCGATAATGGAGAATACTTGTTGATCATTGGATACTGAAACATTTATGTTGGCTAAACAATTCAAAACCAGCTTAATATTTTCAAACCCTTTCTTGTAGGAAGGACGTAAGCTTCGACTCATTTCTTTTAACGAGTATGAAAGTGTCAATCGCACATGTTCGGGATTTTCTTCGCTGTAGTCCAATGAAACTGGCTTCAAAATTAGTGGCTCTAAACAGTTTTCCAGCAGAAAATCGCATATCTTAATGGGATTATAACGCGCCTGAAAATAATATAAGGTACTGAATTAAGTTTATACTAAACTATTAATCTCTAGCTACTTGCTTGGAACAACGCCATCACAGTATCTTGCAATTGATTAACATCCTTCGATACCTGCAGCGACATTTCACGGAATTCGTCTATACACGCACCCAGCTCTGAGTTGGCTTGGCGCAGTGCGGCATTTGCTTCGCTGCCAATTGTCTGCAGCAAGTGCTCAGACTCACGCACTAATTGCTCACCTTCATCAAGGTACGCGTCGGAAGTTGTATTATTATTATTTAGATTGTATTATTATTATTTAGAATACCTTTGATAATACTTTTCAAAGATTTCATCTTCGACTAACTCGTGGGAGCGTTGATTCTGAAATGGCAAACATTTTTAACACATACATTTGTCCCAACATTATTTTTCATACTTACCCTAAAGACTATATGCACAACACCACAACAATGCTTTCATCTTTAATTAAAGCTAATATATATGCTTAATATCTATAAATTTTCCCATTTTAATGTGTTATGAATAAATTTTTTCGTATTGTTTACGTTTTTCGTGCAAAATGTCTTCTTCTTCTTGCATTCTTGTTCGCGTTTTGACATTGCTCTCTCGCAGCTGCACCAGTGTGACGTCACCGAAAAATTGCGCTCAAAAATCCTCTCTGATCGGCGCAATCTTGTATTCTATCATTCTTGACACGTAAATCAATTCCTCTATTTGGCCTGTACAGTATAAGGGAAACATTTCAAATTCATAAGGGATACTTTTCTTTGTGATGCGGCTTATATAAGGAATTATATATGCCATACTGTTTCAGCTGGGTATTCATCAGTTCAAAAAATTTAAGCATATTATCATATTCCAGTGAATAAAAACACGCCTAATTTTATTATTTTAATTATCTACAACTGTATGAGACTACCAAGCCATATATATACCTATTCAGATAATCGGAACGCTGTTGAGAAGGCATAAAATTGTGTACTTTTTCAACTAAAAGGCTTTTTTCTTCCCGTTTTTCTTGTACTTCCAAAATACCATATTGACCTAAGGTAGTTCGATTTCGAGCTGTCACAACGTACAACACCTTTCATTATTGCATCATGATCATGTTCGACCCAAGGCACATTTTATACAAAATATTTTGTCTCGAAAATGTCAAATATTTCAATTTTTTCTCACAGAAATTCTAAATTTTTAAAATCTATTTGCATGTGAAACCTTTTTCCATGCGAAACAAGCGATTGGATAGCAGCTTTTGGAACGTTCGCCCAACTCAGCAGCACAACTGCTGATTACCGGGCCTAGCAAAGGCTGGATAAATGCTTCGGGAAGGAAACAAATTTACTAAGAAAGAGAGATGCAACAATTTTTTTCCCAATTTCAATTTTTATACCCGAGAGCTCTTGTGCACAAAGGTGTATTAACTTTGATCACATAACGGTTGTTTGTAACAGCCAAAACGAATCGAGATAGATATAGACAAATGTATACATAAATGCTCAGAATGAATAGAGAAGTCGATTAAGCCATATCTGTCTGTCCGTCCGTCTGTGTGCACGATAACTCGAGCAAACATTGAGATATCTCAACGAAATTTTAGGCTTCCATTTATCCAAGGCAGGTTGGTATTGAAAATGGGCGAAATCGGACTGTAACCACGCCCACTTCCCATATAACGGCATTTTCGAAAAATGCAATAACCGCGATATTTCAATTAATATTGCATGCAAATTATTTGAAATTTGTATGTGAAGTAGAATTGTGGAAAAAATACCATTATTATGCAATTTTTGAAAAATGGGCGTGACCCCGCCCACTTATGATGAAATTCTGTATCTAGTAGCCAAACTCGGTATGCGCCTTGCCTGGGGCCTAGCTAATAAATCTGTTGAAAATCCTTCAAATCGGGCAATAACCACGCCCACCTGCCATAAATCAGCAACTACTAAGGCTAATTTACTTAAAATCGATGATTGCAATCACCGCTTAGGAGAACATTAGATTATTATAAATTTTTGGATAGTGGGCGTGGCGCCACCCGCTTATGACCACAAATGTGTATCTCGGTAACCGATTTATAAATTACTATCAAACTCGGTACACTTAATAAGCTTGGAACGGGAAAGAAATTCGTGAAAAATTATTCAAATCGGACTTAAATTACACCCGCTTCCCGTATTTACTCCAAGTTAATAGTTACAACAATCTCTTAACAATAAATAAGACTGCTATAGACTTTTAGGAATTGGGCGTGGCATCGCCCACTCTATGACTATAAAAGTGTATCTCGATAACCACTATATCGATTTCTGCCAAACTTGGCTCAATTATATCATTAAGCATAACTCAGAATATTATCTAAAACGTTTGAAATCGGGGAAAACAGCCCCGATTATCATGCAAAGGTAGTTTAGAGAAAGTTGAAACGACGATATTTGATACCTGCGCCGGGTATATAAAGTTCGGTTTCGCCCGAACTTATACTTCTTTACTTGTTTTAATTCTATTTTCGTTTGTATTTCACATGACACGCATTGATTTAGAAGAAAATAATCAGAACAGTTTTTGACAATTTCGATACTAGAAGCAACAACAAAATACACGCAAATGTTGTTTTTTTCTCTAGTGCTACTTCCTGTTTATATGCCTTGGTTTGACCCTAATTTGACTCTAATACACGCTTTCGATCAAAAAACGTGTTTCCTATGTGTTTTCTGAGTTACAACAAATGTTGGAAATAAAACAAATTTTGGTTTTTTTCCCATTGCTTATTTATACTATTTGTAACAAAAACAGTTTACTGACAGAAGGAAAAAGGACTTTGTTTATTCCAAAAATACAATTAAACAAAAAATTTGATATAATTAATATGAAGAAAGTAATATTAACAAAATAATTTTACTTATGAAAAGGGTAAAGAAACACTGCCTCATATGAAAACATGCCTATGAAATGTGACTATAAGACAGCCGAACGTCAGAAAATAAGGCTAGAAAGCTCTTTTATTACTTCACCTGTTTATTACGCCATTCATCCCACCTGCCTGTACCGAGTATACGTTCAAATTTAGAAGTCTGAGAGTAGGTAAAATTTTACATATTTTTACATCACTGTTTCATACCATATGTTCGCTTCGTCTTCCTAAACGAAATCCACAGTTCGGATATAGTGAAGCAAGTGATGATGATGCAGAAATTTTAGCTGAAGATTAAACTCAAAACAATATTCTGTGTTATACATATGCTGCGAACAGGAACGGTAACTTTTGCTTGTTCCATGCCATGACGAAATTATACAAGATTTTGACATTGCCTTATTTGAAAAATTGCCTTTAAAACCTTTTTTTTACTTCACCTGTTTATTGCGCCATGGTTCCATGCAAACATTTTAAGGTTTTCCAGCAATGTTTTCAACATATTAAAAAGCATTCAGATGAAATTCATACAAAAGCGCTATGACCAATTTGCCGAGCAGTTATTACAGACGACGCTTTCCCTATAATTTGTTATATTAGACTTTTCACAGCCAGTGCAATGGGGTATAGTTACGGTAACCACAAATATAATTTGAAAATGCAGGACAAATTTTCAAAAAATTTACCTACATATAATTGCGTAGTATAAAAATAACAAAAATATACTATATATATACATTCCTTGAATAGCCCACCCTTTTGTTGATTTTCTTCCATACAAAGTATGCTTGACAAAATTTTTATATGGAAGAAAAAAAATGTCGCCCCTATGTTTATTTTTTTTTAATTTTCAAAAATGTTTAAAAACGGGTTTAGACGTATAGTCCAAGAGCTGGCAACGATTACCTTACACTAGGCTAGAACTTTCATGATGAGTCCGCTATGACTAAAAGTCTGGCGGCCCTCCAGGGGTGGCTTTGACGCCACCAGAATTTTTAAGGATGCAAAAAAAAAACACATCAATTACACTATTTTAACCAGTCTGGCATTTTGGGATATCAGAGTTGGTACTTTTCCGAAACCGAAAAAAAATCGCCAGACTGGTAGGGCGGTGGAAAGTGGATGCCAGACGCGGCTAAAGTGGCGATTAAAAGAGGACTCTTAAAACTATAATAACCAGGCTAAATTTTATGAATCATAAGGTGAATCCTCAGGAGGCTATATGTTTGAAGCCAGACGAAATTTTGGGTGGAAATGCCCTGCCAGATCCAAAAATCCGTTGCTATGCAGGCGTTCAAATCAACTTGTTTCTTACTAATTTTTAATATACTTTGTTGACGAAATGGAAAAGTATCGGTAAAAATACTATACAAAATAATTTAAAAAATAGCAGGCGTTCAAATAAACGCATTTCTCGTTGCTCAAAATGCTCCAATATCTTTCAGTACATATAATTTTGTTATACGGCGATTTTATTCAGAATACGTAATTTGTTCCAATAGAGAAACGCTAGTTTGTTAGAAACTTTCGGAGTTGTGTTGTGTTTCTATTACATCGAGTCCTTTTCTGTCAAGTAATATCTTCATCGGAAATTATTTATGTTTTTTGTCATCGTCGAGGATGTGAAAAATGTTTACTATTTACAGCACAATCAGTACAAGAATGCAGTGAGGTTCTACAAATCCGAAAAAACAATGTGTGGCACCCTGTAGCTGACAAGGGGGCAGCACTGACGGCGAGCAACCCTGGCATGGAAGAGCGCTGACGTTGAGTTATATTAAAATGTGCTTTTCTGACTTGTGGTTATGAATATGAGTTGTTCTGAATAAGTGAATAAAGTTGTTATAATTACAAAGTAATACACTGGCGACGAGTGAAAAAAAGCCAAAAACGAAAAGAAAAGAAGTGGAACAAATAAATAAACAGAAATTTAACTAAACTAAAGAAAAACTAAAAGCAAGCATTAAGGTGAATATTTTGCGTGCATACAAATGCATTAGTGTTGTTGGTGTTTGTCGCTGCCAACACCATCGTTTGTAGATTCGTTCAACCTGTTCGTGCTGGTCAAAAAAAAAAAAAAAAACATTCTTGTACAAGAGGAAGCAAAAAAAAAGAAGCCAAAAACGAAAAGAAAAGAAGTGAAACAAATAAATAAACAGAAATTTAACTAAACTAAAAAAAAAAACTTAACTAAAAGCAAGCATTAAGGTGAATATTTTGCGTACATACACATGCATTAATGTTGTTGGTGTCTGTCGCTGCCACGACCATCGTTTGTAGAATCGTTCAACCTGTTCGTNAAAAAAAAAAGAAGCCAAAAACGAAAAGAAAAGAAGTGAAACAAATAAATAAACAGAAATTTAACTAAACTAAAAAAAAAACTTAACTAAAAGCAAGCATTAAGGTGAATATTTTGCGTACATACACATGCATTAATGTTGTTGGTGTCTGTCGCTGCCACGACCATCGTTTGTAGAATCGTTCAACCTGTTCGTCCTGGTCAAAAAAAAAAAAAAAAAA